TCCGAAAAATTAAGGGAAGACCGGGTTATCGAACCCGGGTATTCAGAGCCACAATCTGATGTTCTGCCACTGAACTATCTTCCCGCAGCGCACGGCCATAGTCCAAAAGCGACGGAAGATTCTTCCTCGGACAATCCCCCCGTTATTTTTTCCTTTTTGTTGCTACTTTTCGGTCCCGCCCCAAACCCGCGAACACGCTCACAATGTCACCCAAGGACGCGGGTTCGATTCCCGCAAAGGCGCATGATTTTCTTTTGCGCGAATACCCTCAACAAGAACACGCTCCCGAGCCGCACAAGACGGGAACGAGAAGGAGTGAACGGAATGGGGACGGAGTTCACCAGATCCTCGACGAGCGCCCACACCAAGTGAGCGCATATGTGTGCGCATTGTGGTGGCCACCGCCGCGGCATGATCCCTTCATCGGATTGGACACGCCTGTATATATTCATCTGCGTGCGTGCCTTCATAATGCGAGAGGTGCCCGATTTCGGGCTCTTCCAGCCGCAAGACGCCGCCGCTCCCCTTCGCAAGTGCCACCCCTTCGCCAAGTCCTGAAGTGTAAAAACACGACCGCGTGATATGCCGTCTGCGGGGTTTTCCGCAGACCGCACGTAGGCAAAAGTTGCCTGTATTCCGCGAGAGTCCAAAAACTCATATATCCGTCGCAGCCCCCATGTCATGGCGTGCGATTCCGAGCTGCCTTTATTCGCCGCTCCTTGCTGCGAAGTGTTGTCCACCCAAACGCCCATGGTGGATGGCAAGATGGCGGAAAAGGCCGATAAGGCTAAGCGGACCGCTCGTGCCTCGGCCTGCATGATAAGAAAAGGTTTCTTCTCCCACTTCCCCCGGCAATTTTAACGTCGCCGGAGTCTGGAATAAAAACGGCGCCCCATCCATGGAGCGATGCGTCCGTGATGATGGCGGCCGATGCTTTCTCGGTGGACTTGATGATTCGCTTGCGATTGTTCTCGATGGTGTGTCGCAATCTCTCGCCCAAACCAACCGCTGCCGACGGAAGGTTCGCCGGGGATGTCTTCTCCACAATCCCTTGGTGAAATGCCGATAATCGTCGTCGCACTGCCTTGATGGAAAAGTGGTGGTCGCATAAACGCGTGCCCAAAATGGCCGCCGCGTACAAAAAGCGTGACGCCACAACCTCCATTCCCGCGATGGTTGAAGAATTGAGCGCCGGCATGGCGCGTACAGACCGGACAAACCCTTCACTCAGGGATACCGCCCGGTGAGTGTGATCAAATTGCACCCCAGAAAGGTGTAATGCGTAGCGCCCGATTCCCGTTCTTCCCTATCGTGGCATTACTACTGTCCGTATTACGAAGCACTTGGGCCTCCCACAATGTCGCGTCGCTTTTCGACCCTGCAATGCGCATATTTTTTTTTCTACTTTTACCAGCGCGTCTAGCTATACAATGGCATCTGAGTGCCGAAGAGGTGGTCGAGCAGCGACAAAAGTTTCCTGCTATGAAGCAACTGCCGTTGAGAAAACTTTCCGAGGCGAAGGTCCCGTTCAATGCCCAGCCGTTGACGCACAGCCAAGGTGCCTGGACATTCTAGAAGCAGATGGTGCAAGGTTTCCTGCGGGTTGATTGGCGTGCTTGAAGGTGGCTGGTCCTGCGGCAGCAGAGATCGCCTCCTGGCACTGCTGTTTCGATGCCGTGTGGCGTCTGGGTTGTGTGCGCAGCAATTTCTGTGCTGTGCGGTGCTTCTCCGTGTGGGGAAAACCATGTTGCAGAAATCACATTTGAGCTCGGGAAGCGGTGGAGGATGTTCCGGATGAAATAACCGACAGTGACTGACGAGACCCGAGAATCCCGTCAATGTGGAATCACAGTGCGGACATTTCTCCTTCCGAAGGCGTGTGACGGTTTGTCTCCTTACTGGAGAGACGTCTTCCTCCCTCGCCGACGGGGGAACAGTGTCCGTCCCCGGTGCGGTTGGATCGTTGTTAGAGCGCATGTATGCAGACTGTTCCGGTGAGATGTTGCGGAATCGGCATTGGTTCGTGCAATCTCTCACGGCCCAGCATAGTCGGCCCCAGAGCTCAGATCCCCCGCACCTTGCCCTTGCGAGGTGGACCAGTTCCTGGCGGTGAAGAACCTCCTGAGTGATCAGGTCCTTACCGCTGAGATCTGATGGCCTTGTGCCGCAAAGCAAGTAGCGATGAGTGTCTTGAAGAATGGTACTACGCCACTTGTTGGGGAGCTGGGTAGTCAAACATGTCGGCAGATCCGTATGCCATAAATGTGCGATCCCATGTTCCGTTTATTGTCCACTTTCCATAGTCTGCGTCGCATACTGATCCGCAAGCTCGGTAGCGTGTGCCCCACAATGTCCGTAACAAAACTACAGGCGCACGGACCAGCCAGCACACGCCAGTGTCAGGAGACGCTGCCAGATCCGATCCTCCGTCCAGTCTGTCTGACTGAGCGGGCCCTTGTTTAGAGCCGCTAGAAGAGACTGACCGTCTGTAACCACAAGCAGGGTTTTACGCCTGTGTTGGATGCGAGGGGCAATCAGCCTCTCTAGGGCTAGAAGCAGTGCGCGGGATTCCGTCCTGTAGCTGCATGGGCGCGCACCGCGGTTTATGCTGGCCTTTTCTATTATCTCCGATGAGTTTAGGGATGAGAGCAGTATTCCAACCCCTGCTGACTTGGGAACGTCGACACCGCCATCGGTCGCAAGCATCCACGAACGATGGCTGTGCAGCGCCAGAGCCTCTTCGCTGACTCTGCGCTTTTCCCTTATCAGCTCCTCTTCGTCAGTTATTGAGTGGTCTATCGGAAGTTCCACGCCGATGGTGACCCGGTGAGCGGAGGCCGCAAACCAGGGAGGAATGGAGCTGCGAAAGAACCGCTCTTCGCGTGGTGAGCTCTCGGTGATGCCATAGTCCTTTGTGTATGCGTCTACGAATGCATATAGCTCGTCCCGAGATAATGGCGAGATGCGGAAACCGGCGCGAGGCGGTGGCTCAGGCGGGGGTCTCCGCATCCAGTCCGTCTGACATGCGCGTGTGTTCTCAAATATGGAGAGCCGCGCGCGCAGGCAAAGGACGCGGAGCGGCGGCGTATTAGCCTCCAGTAGTGCGGATTCCGGGTCGACGGTGCTCGGAACTCCGCCGACAATGCGCGCCAGAGTTGCGTACGTCTTCTGCATCTCATTCTTCGCTGAATCCGTCGCTGCCGCCCATATGAGCTCACTGCCATAGCGTAATTTGGAGCACCGTATCCAATGACGAACGTGCGTCGGTCATGTGGAGATGGTCCCGCCTCTTTGTGCGCTATGCAGCGTAGCTGCGATATCCGTTGCGAAGTGGCAGCGCATTGCTTGGTGGCCGCCACATTTAGCGTCAGTCGTGGATCGAGATCCATGCCGAGAAGCTTCGTAGTTCGCGACGCCCCCATGGTCATGACTGGGATTTGACATCCAGCCACTAACAGGGGCCACCTTCCTTCACGATCATAATCTGACTCCGTGTGCGTGGAGAGTGTGAACCAAGCGGCTTCACGCATTGACGGGTTAATGGCCAGGCCATTTTCCTGACTCCACGCATGCAGTCTTTGAAGAACCATGTTGGCAGTGGGAATGGCGTCTTCCCGGGACTGCCCCTTAACGATAATAGAGAGGTCGTCCGCATACATGTCTGCTGTGGCACCCGCAAAGCTGTTCAGCAGATTGAGAAGTGGGTGTACTTAAAGGGAGAACAAATACGGTCCCAGCACGGACCCCTGAGGAGTTCCTCGCAGCATGGGACGCCGATCGCTGTGTCTGTGGCCAACTCGTGTCTTCGCGTAGCGACCACATAGAAAGTTTCTAAGCCACCTTCTACAATCCACCCCCGGAATATTAGCCAGCAAGCGACTGAGGACTCGATGATCTATGGAGTCAAAAGCCTTGCTGAAATCAACCAGCACCAGCAGGGTCCGATGGGGTCTGTAGTGGAGTTGATTGCCAATACCGCTCTTCTTGGGAAGGCTCACCTGGAAATAATGATTTCTATTATGCACCACTTCGTGTATCAGGTGTGCCAGTCGCATCGTCGTGTTACGCACACTACGATGTGCATACTGGTGGGGGTGCGGCATCCACACCCAAAGCAATCTCTTCAGTACCATTTTCTCAGCAACCTTACTCACAATGGAGT